CTGAAACAGAACAGAGAAGTCTAGTCACCAACCGCAGGCTCTTGTCCCATGAACAGCCTTGTAGGAACGCCTTGGAGGATACCACAGAGAGCTGAACTAAAACTAAAACTCATCCGTTTAATTTAAAGGCCGTTTTCTCCTCCAGCCTTCCCAGGCAGAGGACTGGCCGGTCTCCCTGGTTACTGCACCACTAGTTCCCAAACTTGCTACCAAGGATCAGGGAGGGGCAAGAGCTCCCCATGAGAAAACGTCCCCCCTTGTGCTTCTACTTCTGGAAGGAGTCTGGTTAAAGTTCACGGGCTGGAGGATTTTCCCCTTTCCTCGGCTCCCCATCTTCCCCTTGCAGCTGGTCATAAATGGAGTCAGGCTCTGGTCCCCTTTCCCAAGGTATTGTTAGGTCAGAAAAGCCATCAATTAGGCTGTCTGAAGTTTTATCACCAACACAGCAGTAATAAGTGCTGGCCAGAAAGACTTCTGCTCTTCAACTCCTGCAGTTTAAGCCTGTAAAGTTAGGGGTCGTCCAGAGGACAATGCCAGCTGGGGGCAGCCTTTGCAGCCTAAGCTGGGACACCCAGGGCAGCGGATAAGGTAGGTAACTCCCAACCATAAACTCAGCCACCTTTCAACCCACTGGAAAGACAAGCCCCAGGTACACGTGGTTGGTATTAGAGTCCGGGAAACATTTTCAAATCAGGTGGAGGCTGACTGGCAAGAATGTAATGAAGAAGCAGTTATTTTGTCTGGGAAGCCTGGATCTAATTTTGTTGAAAATACAAAAATAAGTGTCTACTTCATGTTACTTTAATGTTTAATAATGCCCATCAAATATTCATGTACAAACGGAGTAAGACGATAAGAAATCTCCTTTATGTCTCCAAATTTAATAAAAACAAAACAATTTTCTACCATTTGTGAGTTACCCTTGTCCCAGTCCTTTTAATGATGTGTATTTCGCACACGTCACACCTGAACTTGTGCACAGGACTCATGGGCCTTCCCTGTGGCTGGGGAGGGGACAGTGGCAGGGAGCATGTCGCTAGCCTATTCCTTAAGAATACATCTATTGATGACAGTGCTTCGCTATTTCCAATCTTAAACACAGAGGGACCTAATGATTGATGAGTCCACCTGGGGCTACAGGCAGGAACTGAAAGCTCTTTCTCTGAAATTAACCAGAAGAATTCTGGTGTGTTGGCGGTTGGAGTCCCTGGGAGGAGGACAGTCAGCTCACACATTCCTCCAGTGAACACTGCAGCAGGATTACAATTGGCTGAGGAATAATAGCCTGGAGAAAACCAAAGGGAGTCTTTGCATATGGCATTTGTTTGCAAAACAATCAACTTCTTTATTACTTAAGAAGGGACGGCTCAGTTGTCAAAAATGTTACACCCCTTTGGCTTTGGGGAAGAAAGTGACAGGCCACTGTAAGTAGAGGTGGAAACAAAAGGCAGTTGAAACTGCGTGTTTATTCCCATCTGTCACCTGGAGTGTTGCTGAGAAATGGCTGGCCAGATCACAGAAACCTCCAGAAGCAGCCCTCAAATCAAAAAAGCTTTCCCCACTGCCTTGACTGTGACGGAGGAGGACTGACCTGGTATTTCTACCGACCCCAGTACCTCTCTTCACAGACTCAGGTCAAGACCAACAGAGGTGCTCAGGACAGGACAGCCAGCCTTGAAGTTTCTGGTGGAGGACACACGGCAGGGCTGTGTGTCTTCTTATGTGCTATTAATCCTGTTGTGAGTGTGTGCGCGTTTTTACAGGCCAGCTCTTTAGGTAACACGAATGGCTATTTCTTCCCTTTTTAATTTCGCCCTTTTGCTCCTTTATGATTTACATCTGGAGGCTGTTCCCTTATTTATGTCTTTCTCTCCAGTTCCCCCAAACACTCCCTTACTCACAGAGCTGCAAGGCATCATGGTCCTTAGTTCTCAGCAGGAGAACTCCACACTGTCTTCAAACAAATAATTACGGGGAAGGTTAGAGGTTCACTCAAAGGTCATTTCTTTGGATACTCCTCAGAATGTTTACATTAGTAAAATCGGGGTCCGCTCAAAAGAACATTAAAAAAGCATTCTGTGTGCTAGCAGGTCTTTAGCGAAGCTGAACTTGGAAATACCACTTGAGTATCACATTTTCACTGGTTACCATGGTGTGGACTTGGTGTCACCAGCAGTAAGGGCCATGGCTTTTCTTTGCCCACATCTCCTGAGCAAGTGTGAATAGAAGGCCCTAAAGGTTTCCCTGGATCCTTTTACAAAGGGTCACAGAGACTTTGCTTTTTTCACGTGGGCTCCATTGAGCCTGTCTGCATTTTTGTTCTCAAACAATGTTTTTGATCCATAGTGCTATTTCTTGCCAGATTCGTAATTCCACCACATTCTTTCAAATCACACAGAATTTTAAAAACATATGGGCCCCAATTTTTCAGAAATCTCTTAACATACAAGTCCTGCCAACTGTCAGCTCCCCTAATCCTGGTATATTTGATTAACACCATAGATGTTATTATTAAAATTAATAATGAGTTGGCCATGAGAACATTTTTATGTTGAAATATGAAATTACAACTCTCCTGTCCTCCATACCAATCACCCACAGGCCACTCTTAGAAAATACACCAATGCACATAAAATGGAATCATCTAAGTCCTAGATTAATACTGGTCAGATGGGGAATTATTTTTATTTCTTTTATATACTAAGATGAACTTTCCGTAGACGGGGTCATCCCCAAAATTACTTGTCATGAACTTTTTTTCCCATTTCCTCTAATCTACATTTTTAAAATGACTTTTTCTAACATTCAAGTAGTAAACAGATGACCAAGTTTTGACTCTACTTAAAACCTGAAGACTCAAAGTAGAAAAGTCAACTCATCTTCAATCTTTCAAGTTCCAAGCTCCATTCATATGGAAAAATGCAACTTGCTGGTTCAAAGACAAAAAGACTTGTCTTAAAAGGACTCAAAAGGTTTCTTAGATATTAAATGGGTCTCACAAAATAACATTTTGATGAGTTAAGTGTAAATGAATCAGACACATATGGATTAAGTTATCCTTGAATTTCACACGGGTTTAAAAAATAAGGGGAAAAGAGGGTCTTGGCAAAAAAACATTTTGGACTTTGCCAAACCCAAAACATTTGAAAAATTGCTGAAGACATCCAACTAACCAAAATGCAGCAAGCAGCACCCAACTTTAATGAAAACTCCCACAAGGTATTTGCAATCCAAAGACTGTTAGGTTTTCATCTGTATCTGATATTAAAAAATCCTCTCAGTTTTAATGTCATCTCAGAATGGTGTTCAAAGTTGCAGACATATAATATAGCTCTCTTTTGGTATAAACAATTTAACCCTAACTTATAAAGTCTTCTTAGATATTAAACAGTTCTCTGAAACACCCTGAGTTTTGTACAATGAGTGCAGAATATGCTAATAAGCCTAATGTTTTACCCAGATTTCACTTAGAAAAAAAAATTTCATTAGCCTGGTTGAGACTTTTTTAAGGGCTACAGATAATTCCATTAGTGACTCTTAGGGACTGAGTACCCTAAAGTGCACTAGTTCCATTGATCTGTATTGAGCACAAAGTTAGTACCCAGGCTTATACAAAAGCTCTGTACAAAGACTACCTACTTCTCCCTAAATTTTACTTACATAGAAAATGCATTAGTATATGTGATCTTTTAAAATTATATACTAAGACTGTGAGCTTAAAATAACTTAATTATAGAAATAAATTCAATGGCTTTCCAAGTCAACTCAGAAATGAAAAAAAAAAAAAAAACAGATAGCAAAGTCTCCCCTCACTGTCTTCCTGAAAAGATACCTCCTGGAGACCTCTCTTCACCCCCCTAAATATCCAAGCTTTTTAGCCTTGCATACTTTTCTGCAGCTGAAACATGACCACCCTGAGTTTTCCTTTAAAGACTTTTCTCTCCAAAGCACAGTTCAGGTGGATAGAAGTCATCTCAGGTGTCCTTGATAATGGTTGACTCCTTACTCCCCCTTAAATGGCCGATCAATCCCTTCTTTCTGGTGTCCTAAATTCATGCCACACCTGGTAACCGCCTCCTTTTGCAGCATTCTTTTTGTTAGAAAGTGCAGGCCTCCATGGAGTCACCTGGAAAGCAGCCAAGCCCTGAACACTGAGGAGGAGTCAAGAACCCCGGATCTGAAGCTTTTGCATGGATTGGTTTTGTCAAGGAAGGGGACTGAATTGTTGAACAGGGATTCTATCAACTTGGAAAAGGTGTTGTAGGTAGCTCAGTGACAAGGAACCTGTTAAAAAGTAACAGGACTCCTCAACCTGGATGCCTAGCCAAAGCTGGCTCCTGGTTGTGCTTCAGACAATGGAGCATCATCACTGGCAAGTCACTTATCAAGTGTCTCTATTTTTTTCCTTAACACACAAAATAAAAGAGTAAGTCTTCTTCTGTGTCGTTGTTATAGCTCAGAGTAGGGTTTTCTTAGTAAGGTATATTAAAAGGGTTAAATCGGTGAATAGGGACGTTTAACAACATTGAATGTGTACTTGGGCCCATGAATGACTGAGTTATAATGCAAAAATAAGTGTTTCACTGATGGCCAGACACTGGATCTTTTCTCAAAGACAACTGTGAGCAAAATAAGGTAAATGACTAAGATTCATATGCTACTTAGGGTTTTATTCATAGGTCATAATTAATTTTCCTGAGTTACAGCTTAATTTATAATTTGATAGAATATTAGATTTGCCCACACCTGTAAAAACACACGGAGTAAATACTAATAAATTTACAATATTAAAACATGATGTTAATCTGGAATCATAAATATTTTGTAGCTTTATGAATGTGCCTTGAGTCATGGAGCGTTCACACTGATATGAAAGGCCCTGGGCAAAATGAGAAGCAGGTGATGCTCGTCTTTGATGGCCTTCCACTGTGTTCTTTCATTATCCTTCCTTTTGCTAATTCTTCCCTAAAGTTACCAGGACTCACATAGGCTCTTCACTA